ACAGATGAATAGGTATGTGGAATAGAATTATTCATCTATAAAGAGTGAAATCTTGACATTATGTTAAGTGAAATAAGCCAGCACAGAAAGGCAGGCGCTACACCTCACTCATGGAAACAAACACTTGATGTAGGTAGACTAGTGATTACTAGCTCTTGGGAAGGGGTGACAGGAGGTGGCTGACCAATCCACACTGCAGGAATTTAGGAAAACACCACGCTAAGCTCCCCTAATATGTACAACTAATGTGTACGAACAGAACAAATTTTAAAGTCTAAAATCTAACTCCTTTCATCCTTCATAAAGAGGCACAAAATGTCTGACTAAAATACACGTGCAGTTCCAGATGATTCCTCTCAGAGGGGAAATACCAGGTCTACCTGGAGCTCCAGCAGCGCTGTGATCATGTGTAGGTGAAATCTTCAGCATCAAATGAGGATGCAGTGTGATAATGTGATCCTGCAATCCGTGCTAACCACTGAGTACCGGGGATGCCCTAGATGTCTCTGCAGGGACACAGAGCTGCAGGGGCTGCAGGGACACAGAGCTGCAGGGGCTGCAGGCACACAGAGCTGCAGGGGCTGCAGGCACACAGAGCTGCAGGCTGAGCAGCTGCTCAGACAAGGCCAGTCTTCTCTGGCTCCCAGTCTTCTCTGGCTCCCTCCTCAGCTGCTGTCAGCAGCGCTCCTGTGGCTCTCACGGCCAGCCCTGGGCAAGGAAGTGGCTTTAGCAACAGCAGCCCCTCTCAACTGTTCACCTGAACACAGACATTGCACCTTTTTTTTTTTTTGGCTACATGATGTGGACCTATCTGGGGTGAATAGATCTTTCTTCATGTCTCCCTAAGAACAGTGTCTCACACACACATGGGGATAGTTGAATACAGGTGCTATAAAAGGGAAATAGGAAAATGGGCAGAGGGCAATATAGAAGAAGAGAGAGGTAAAAGGAATAAAAACCACTAAGGATGTTTGACTAAGTCATAGGGAATTGCAGTTTATGCTTACCTATAATTACATATAATATACAAAAAGCATATGTGGATATATAAAGTTATGTCACTTGAAGTGTTAATGCTCCCCCAAGAACCATAAATTATCTAACAAAACCTCTAATATCAGGTAAG